AAACAGGAGTGAGAAGAAAGACAGCAGGAGATGAAGAGGCAAAGAGAATGGAAATATTTTCAGCACATGGCTCTATACGTACTCTAGCTGTGGTTTCAGCGTTTTATTGTGTTGCCATCCTTGCACTTCCCCTTCTTCCTCATCTTTCACTCTCACAATGTAAACCTCATAGTTTGATGCTGAAAATCAATAAAACAGCATGTCTCCCTGTAAGCGAACAACTCTCACAGTAAGCAGGCCACATGTGTGTATGGATTCGTTTATTTATTCCCTGTGAATGAAAACTCAGGCAAAATGAGATATACTGTAGCTGTGTGAGAGAGAGAATTTGTTTGAAGGGATGGAAGAAAGTCTGGGGGAAGGTTTGATCGTAGATAGACTTTTGATTTATTGTTGTCATGTAGCAGTAGCGCCTACATTTGGAAGATGCTCCTGCATTCTTTCTAATATGTCATTTTTAGCTGGTAATTTCTTTTTATGGCTGCAGCATGGGTGAAGAGCCCAAGACAAATTTCTCACTTTGTGAGAAATAAAGTTAATCATAAACGAGAGATGTGATTTAAAATGTGTTTGTTTGTGTGGAAAAGAGATGGAGAGAGAGTGAGAGACAGACTGGTCATTAGATCGAACATGAGCCTGATCTGAGTGACTGAGTGATGAGGCTGGTGTTTTTTTTATCAAGGACCAAAGCTGGCCTGCCCCTGGCTTAGATTTCACACACACACACACACACACACACACACACACACACACACACACACACACACACACACACACACACACACACACACACACACACACACACACACACACACACACACACACACAAAAACACAAGCTGAACACTCACTCACACAATTTAGCCAAATCCCTGGTGAAAGCAAAGAAAGAGTGAGAGGAAAAACACAGCATAGCATTAAATCACTAATGGACAAATAGATAGAAGATAGAGGTGTGGCTTTGTTTTTCTTTGGGGAAGATATATTTTCACAATTTCTCTGTTTTCTTCTTGTTTTCACTCACACACACAAACATACATACTGTATATGCATACTGGCTGTGTCAGCAGACAGGAAGCTAATACATAATTTATGAGTCCAGTCATTGATTACAGGTGATAAGTGGTATTGACAGGAGGTGTTAGGAGGATACCAAAAGTGTTGATCTGTAGGTTTATGTATGTGTGTGTATTCCCAGTGGGATGCAAAATGGTTACTGAATATGTAATAGTCTCTTGAACATTAGCTTACGTAGCAGAATTTGTAGGCTAGAGTGACTCCAGACTCAATAAAGTTTTTATTTTTAAGGATCAGGTTGCACATTTAGGCGTGCAGATCATTTTTGTGTTATTTTTCTAGTATTAGAAACAGTGATGGAATGTCTTGGTCTTCACATTCTCAGAATGATAAAGTTAAAAGACAAATTAAATGATAAAAATGAACTACCCCTTTAGTCATATTGTGTTTTCTTTCCTGTGTGTACATACTTGCTTAACAAGAAATGACACTTAAGAGCATACTTTAGAGCACAGCTTGCTGTTTAGCCCTGCTTTTGGTGTTTATGCGAGGCTAGTTTAACTACTAATCCGGTTGCAAATAACTTCGCTGGTTAAATATCTCCTACTTCATAAAGATAGAAAGAATAAGAGAATGAGGGGACACTTAAAGAAAAATCACAGAGAGACCTTGGTGAGGTTTGTAATCAGAACTCACACACACACACACAATGGTCTGTGTATACGCTGCTAGCTAGCTGGCTAACAGTAAACATCTGTAGGCTTTATGGAGTGAATTAAAGCAGATAGCTCAGCAGTCTGTTTCAATTCTTCACTAAAGTTGATATTCCACAGAACAATGAGATGATTTTCTTTTATCAAAATGTTTGGATTTTGTCTTTAATCTATGATTTTGTCTTCTATGGAACTAAAATTACCTACTTAATCTGGACAAAATGTACCAACAGGGACATCAAAGTATTTCATCTGTGTTCATCCGCTTTAACAGGGAACATTTCATTTGTAGTAAGCTCTTTTAAAGGGAAATGATCACATTAAGGTTTGTGTATTATCTAGACAGATGAACTAGGACATTGTTCCTGGAAAGACATACCGATACAGCAGAAAACTTCATTCCACTCTATTGTATTGCATTGAAGGTAGGAAAAACCTCTGAACTCTCTGTTAAACTCACAAGTCAATGTTATACAGGGAAATGTCTCTGTTTTGGTAGTTTGGATGAACCTACCCTTTAATTTATCCCAGTTTTACTCAGCCATCCTTTTTTGTGGGACAATTGAACGTCGTATTAATGTAAGTGAGTCAGACAGAGAAGAATTATCCTTTCTGTACATGAAACAGTTTTGCTCTATCAAGAAGCTCAATTATAACAAGCTTGTAGTTGATGTGTGTGCGCCTCTCTGTGTGGTCCTTAATTCACATATTATATCATTATGTCCTATTTCTGTATGCTACTCAAATGCCTGTGAACAGAGGAAAGTGGTGTAAATTGTCTTTACTGTGTGTGTGTGTGTATGTGTGTGTGTGTGTGTGTGTGTGTGTGTGTGTGTGTGTGTGTGTGCGTGCGTGTGAATACACACCTGTCGCTGACCTTTATTGCTCAGCACCTCTTCTCTGCTGTTTCTCATTCATCCCTCTCATTTACAGTAATCCACCTCTCTATTTTCTCCATACCCATTTTCTCATGCAGGCTGCAGACACACACATATGTGCGCCTAGCTGTGCCTATACGCGTGTACGCTAAACGCAAACCATGCTTTCCTGCTTCCACGCTGTGCAGAGCTGAGCTGAATGGCCAGGGTTCATTGAGAGCTGGTGAACATTATGAGTGTGAGAGGAAAAGAAGGGATGGAAAGATAAGAACAGAAGAGGTCCTACCCATTTTTACAGAGTATGTGTTGCATATGACACACTGAGGGGCTTTTAAACAGATACTTCATCGAGTGATCAGTCTCGTTTGCATTCAGGAGAGAAAACTGTTTCCTTTTTACTCTTGAATAGTTTTTTCAGGTCACTGCTTGTGAAAATTGCCGGGTATATGAAAGTGTCCTGCTTTAAAGGGATGTAGTCAGTTTAAATTGTTTCAGGTCAGCGACTCACTCATCTGATCTCGGATCTGTGGGTTGAATGTGTACGTTCAAAGATTTAAATGGAGGGAAGGTAACTGTAGAGAGCTAGGTTAGAGCAAGGAGAAGAAAGACCGAAGCAGCAGCCTCTGCAGATGGATGCTGATTAAATATTGATGGTCAGCGGTGTTGAAGGCTTGATTACGACCTGACTGAGCCAAGGCCTCAACAAATACACACATACACAAAAACACACACACTCACACACACACACACACACACACACACACACACACACACACACACACACACACACACACACACACACACACACACACACACACACACACACACACACACACACACAAAGGTTGAGGTCCTTACTTCAGGATCTGAGCAGGTTCTCATTATGCCGCCCCGCTGGTCACCTTCCTCTCTTTACATTTCATTCTCACCTTCCTGCTTCCTCCCCTCACTTCCTCCTGTCACACAGAGATCACTCACAGGGTGTAGCACATTCAAGTCAGAGTCAAGTGTTGATTCATCACACACAGTATGTCCTTGTCCTTGATAACATTTTTTTCATTTGACACACTCACTGAATCTTTGTTCTTTTATAAAACCCTATTAGAGTCTAGAAAAGGTTTTGTCACCGAATAGACAAAAAACGGCACATTTTCTCAATGACCTGCTGTGTTAGCAAGCAATGGAGAGAGTTAACATGTCGCAAGGCTTTCAGCTACAATCTCCAGAAACAACATCTGGATAATCCACAGACCATGTTTTCAGCAGTCTCTCTAAGGACTATTTCTCTGGTTGAGTTGGATGAAAAGTGTTCAGAGAAGGGTTGATAGACTTTCCAGACTAACCAGTGTGTATTAAAAGTTTTTTCTGACTGTGTTTTATTGCAGGGTTTTTTCTTTTTGTCTTTGAAGACAAGGCTACCCTTGAAACCAAGTTACATTCACCTCCATTTGTGTCCAGTGGCTTAAATCATGGCGCTGTATACCTAAAAACATATAATTTATTTGCACAGGGTTTTTTTGTCTTTCTGTTATTTAGATAAATGGAGCTGAAAAGGAAAACAGCCACTGTGATGATCTTGGATTCAAAGCATTTAGGTTTGTTTTCAAATGACAACTTTTAGAAAAAAAAGTGAAATGTTGATGGAAACTTCTCAGATTTCTCCTGGTGTAAACACAGCCAATGATTGGCTCGGATAAAGCGAAAAAATTGGTGCTCTTCTAAGTGGGCTATTTGGCAATTTCTATGTAAAAAAATTGACTTTTTGTACACTACCGATCATACAGATAGATGAAAAGCAAAGTGGATGATTATGCTGCATGTGTGGTTGGAGGAGATTTGGAAACATTTTGATACTTCTTTATGTGGCATGAAAACTTCACTTTTACCACAATGAATACAACCTGACCGCTGTCTCTTTTCCCCACAAAGAAGCTTCAGATGTTTTAAAGATCTTCCAGACTAAAGGGTGTTTGGTTGATACACAAAAAGAGGATTTAGGTGGACTGTCACTTTAATGTCTAAAAATGTAAATGTTACTGTAAAATAAACTCTTGCTTCTTCTTTTCCAATGCTGTTTCATGGACTGACTCGTGTCCCCTTGAACTGTAAAAGCTGCAGCGCAACCACAGTCGCTCTTATAGCTGAAATTATAGGTTTACAGCTGTTTGTGATTCCACTGCTGTTGTACTGCAACACAACAAAAGACACCCTTGTATAAAGGATGAATAAATCTTGTAGTTTTTTGACTTAGGGTCAAAATGATGGGATGGGATGCCCTTTGAAGGCAGAAGTGCATCCATGAGAAAGAAGGAAAACGTTGAAGGATTTAGAAAATGAGAGAAACTGATGTTTTTTGTTAATATAGTTGTTCTTTTTTTCTGTTTTTTCTGCAGTCACACTGCTGGACTCCATGTCAGCCTTGGCCGACCTGGGATGGGAGGCTTACCCGAATGAAGGGGTAAGTGTATACAGCACAACAAACACACACAAACACATTCTGTGTACACTAAAACAAAACAAAAAATCACCTTCTCTTTATGCCCAGGCTGGCACCAAAAGTAAAAATCTGATCACAACTAGTAGGTAGTGTTGACATGTCGTATTTTCAGGGATGGAGCAGGAGCTGAGATCTAGCTGCAGCACTGGAGTGTGTGTTTTTTAGAGAGCACTGGGTTCTTCAGCGCTTTGTGCTAAATCGGGAGTCTGCAGGGGGAATTTACAAATTATTTCCGCTGTGCTGAAAAAGCCGTAGCAGAGGAGCCTCCATTTATTACGGGTTACAATTTTTTTTTAGTGAAGCGAAGGGACGGGGGTGGAGGGGCAAATATTCTTACATAAGAGGAGATGCTCTTTGTACATGTTGGTGTCAATTGAAGGTGTGTTTTTCATGTAAGTGTGGGCTTGCGTAGCTGGCTCTTTTGCAGGTATACGGACCGAGTGTGGCGTGCAGCCAGAGTGCATCAGAAAATGACAACAGAGACGTGAGAGGAGAAGAGGGCGAGAGCGCAGAGAGGAAGAACGAAAAAGTGCATTCAATAAAGAAATAAGAGCGGGTTGTGTATGTCGTTGAATGGCACTGAATGAATTCTATTTCCCCTTGAGTCACACTTCCTCTCTGCTATTCAGCGTCAGTGTGTTAAATTGCAGGATGCCACACGCGGTTTCATGGTTGTGTGCAGCAGAGAAGTAAGCAGAGCTACCCGGTTGTTTTCTCAGGCAGGCGAGGGTATCAAGTTCACCTTATTGAAATTCTGTGATTGTGCAGCCATACTGTGGATGTTTGTTTATGTTTTGTTTTTTTTTTGTTTTTTTTTACGAGGCCCTTATAGAAAAACAGAATGTGTTCCATGTGTGGCCGAACAAAAAGGTTGAATCTCATTTTGAACAGTGCAGAGTACACAAGTTACTTTTATGGAGAATGGGTCTGCAAAGGCACATGTGTTGTTAGTTTACGCTCAAAGAAAATTGTTGGCTCAAGGTCAAACATATATAATAAACTCCATCCTCTGCAATATCTTTTTTCATGAGCTGTCAACAAAGTAGGGATCTGGCATCTCCTCCATGAATGTGCACAGACATTGATGGGAAACCAGCTCTGCAGACATGCACACAACTCCTCAGTCAAATAAATAAGACAAACAGATCCCTGATAACACAGTGTTGACTGAGGAATTGTCGAAACAAAAGTGTTTTCTCTGGGTTTCTTCACTTTGAGGTCAGGCTCAAGCTTTATCAGCTGCTCTATCTGACCGCAGAAAATTATTAAAGTATTTAAAGATGGCCCAGTCTTCGCTGCCAAGTAATTATTTTGTCTTGTGGTACAAAGAGGCGATTATATCTTCCTCCTAGATAAACATGATCCTTATTGCTCTGTTTCAGTCAAGTCATTGTCAGTTAAGAAGACAGATGCAGAAGTGCTTCTTAAAATAGACACAGTTTTCTCCTGGTAGCTATAACTTTACCACCAAATAATAATACAAAAACAATCTTAAAAACTTTCATAGCAAGCAGGTTTAACGTGGAGAAAGAAAAAGCTAAAGCTTATTAAAAAAAGTGACAACAAAGACAGGAAAGAGGAATCTGTTGGGTGTAGCCTTTTTTTTTTTTAACATCACTGTTACCTTCTCAGGTTCTTTTGGAAGGAATATCCACAAAAAGAAGTATAAACCACAAAAACACAAATAGCATTTGTGTTTTTTAAGAGGGATAAGAGAGTTTCATACTGTGGGATAAAGGTGCCAAAGCTAAGAGAAGATCCAATGTTTCATATCATGGGGATTATCTAGTTGACCTCAGACCTCTAAACCACAGGATTGATCTCAGCGAAAGGCAATTCCCACCAATCTGAGCCCACTGTCTACCTGAATTAGTCCAAAACCACACTTGACCCCAGCAGGTCAAACTTAATCTGAGCCGTGCAGGGCCGGATGTGCCTGAGACTGAGTGGAGTGACCCACTTCTGTCACCAGGGAGGGGGTGTTCCTTGTGAGGGACACAAAACAGATACGTCTTAATGATGTTTGAAAATGGGAGCCCCCCCCCCCCCCCAACTTAAACATCTCCGCTCCCACCAGAGGCTCCTCAGTCCCCATTACCCACCCCCACAACTCCTCCTCATCTCTCTTCATCTGCCACATCTGTTTGCCCCTCCCCTCCACAAACCAGAGTTTGGAGGCCAATTATGTCGTTCATAGGTGTACCCATCAGATGATTGCAGAAGCAGAGATATTATGTTAAGCTGGCGAATGGTTGAACTTAAACCTTGATCTGGCGTCTCTGCTTCACTTCAAAGCAATCAAGCTTCTCCGTGCTGATTGGCCGAGGTGATTGAGGGTTCAGGGAGGAGGCGGGTTTCATTCTGAATGCTAATTAGTCTTCAAACTGAACAAACACACGAAACACATTTCACTTTGTGTGTGTGTGTGTGTGTGTGTGTGTGTGTGTGTGTGTGTGTTTAGAGAGTCAGAGCTTAAACTCTTCAGCCAATCCAAACATTGTCCCAGTTGTGTTTCTGTTCGACTTTCTCTCAAGTGGCCGGCGTATCATTAGTACACATGGAGAACAGCAGGTTGCGTCCATGCTTGAAATCACACCTGTGCTTTTACACAAGGCAAACGTGACGATGAACAGACTCGCCAACGAGGGAACTAAATTGCACAACAGAAAGTGGCAGTAATCCAGCCACTCCAAACTCTGCCGACAAAGAAATAAACAAAGACATCATAAAGCTCTGTTTAGCCCTCAATGACTATTCCCATAAATGCTTTAATCACTGCTCCCTGGGGATGCAGATTTGTGTGTTTATGTGTGTGTGAGGGAGTGTGTGCGACCATCCTGTGATGTCCGACTAGTCTCAGCTCAGCACAGATGGATCTATTTAGCTGCCAGGCGCGCCTGTAATTCACCAACAGTCATTCCTCTCCCTCCTCTTTTCTTTCCTTTCCTCTCTCTCTCTCTCTCTCTCTCTCTCTCGTGCTTTCTTCCTTTAATTGAAAAGTGTGAGTGCGATCACGATGACTCGCTGGTTGTGAGTGCACAATGTTGAGCAAGACTCCAGCGATACCTCCTTTATGAGTGGAACTCTGAGCTGGCTGTCAGTTTGTGTCAGCTGCCTGCAATAGCTCGAACAATCTTCTGCTTTCTTTCTTTCTTTCTTTCTTTCTTTTCCCTTTTCTTCCACATTTTTTGGTTCGAGTTCCATTCATACACAGTAGATGTTTCAGCAGGGGAGATGTGAGAGAGAGAGAGAGAGAGAGAGAGAGAGAGTGTGGGTCTATGTGAGAATGTGGGTTGTTTTTATGTGGGTCTGTTTTAGTGCTCAGGACTCGGAGGTGAAATGCGTCAAGCTTTTGCCGGGTTGTTGGGCAGTCACATCAGATTTACCTCAAGAATCCAACCAAAGGCTGGACTCCACTTGTTTAAAAGTTTCTCTTTGCCTTTTTTGCTGCTTTTTTGGGGGGGGGCCTTTTTTTTTTGGCCTGACTTCTTTCTTTTATTTCTCTCCACCTCTCAGGTCATCCAGTGTTTGACTTTCATTTGAAATTCAGGACATGTTAGGGATGAAAGGTACTTTACTCTTGATTCAGGCTGTGTGTCAACAGTAGAGTTGTAGAAATGTCTCTGATACTGCCTCAAATGCAGTAACAAGTATAGGAGACCGCAGATCAAAATGGTAATTTATAAACCCTGGAGAAAATCAAAGGCTAACATAGCTAAAACTGACTATAGCGCCTCTGTATGTTAGGTTAGTATTCCCCTACATGTTATACAATTACATAGAGGTCTTCCCCTCTCCAAAACAAATAAACCAGGTTAAATAACCAGAAGAAATGTGAATCAATCCGCTTAACATTAAAACCTGTATTTCTCCAATGATCAAGCAGACACAAGTGAGACAGGTGTGTCAAACAAATCTCCATAATATGTTTTTTATTCCCTGATTATGTTCTTTGTCAATTATGACTAAACGTCGTCAAACCACCAAAAATTCTGTCATTTATTCTTCGAGTCTGGCAACGCAAAAACACTGACAATAATCTCCCATCCACACGGGGTTAATAGTATACAGTTGTTGTTTTTTCAAGTATCATACTGGTTTGGGATTAGTACTCTTCATTATAATAATAATAATAATGATAATAATAATAGCTTTATTTATATAGCAAATTTAAAAACAAATGTTTGCAAAGTGCTGTGACAGACAAAGCAAATACAGCAACACGACAACAGAACAGAGATCAACAGAGGGGCCAAACAGAGAGGGAAAAATTGTATAAATGCAAATAACAGGAATAAGATAGATTCAACAGGCAGGTATGGAGAGGCAGTTCAATACAATGAAGGGAAATTAGTTTAAAATCAACCAGGAGAGAACAAAATTAAAATTGAGGGAGAGTGGGAGAATTATTGGCTGATTTGTTAATGTATAGGTATTATAATCTTTTCAGAAAGGAACAATTGGTATTGGAAAACCTCTACGTAGTATGTCCTCACACCTGTATGTATGAAGTGTGTGTTGGTCTGGATTGTAAGGTGATACATGCACATCACTCTGGCGCTTACAGCGTCGGTCTAAAGGATGATGACAGGAGCTCAGAACAAAGATGGTGGTCCTCTCATCCGTCCCCACAAACCAGAACTCATCCAGCCTGTGTGTGTGTGTGTGTGTGTGTGTGTGTGTGTGTGTTTGCATATGTGTGTCTAAGAACATCTAGTGAGCTTCTCCTTAAATGGATCAGATATCTTGAGACACTGAAACCACATTGGTTTATTTTCCTTCTCTTTAAGGAATAGAAATGTTCTTTTTCTTTGAGTGTGAGTGTATATGCAGATAGAAATGTTTTTCTGCTCATGCGAGAAGTGTTCTCAATTACTGCCTTAGTCAGAAGTGGAAACAGATGGTAGCAGATGACGGGAGACAAAGTAGCTCTGTCCTACCTACTCCTACTCCTACTCCTTCTCTCTCTCTCTCTGTCTCTCTCTCTCTCTCTCTCACACACACACACTCCTACCTTGAGTGCTGAAATACGCTTTAACTTTAGAGAAAACATGCTTACTCTGTGCACACGTGCAGCATAGACAAAGACGGCCCTTCAGTCATCTTGACACAGATCATCACTCATACTCAGCCAGACATGAAAACAGAACATGCTGGTTTAATGTTGGTTTGCACGAAAAAACCGCAGCTCATTGAACCTGGGCCCAGTTTCCCATAAGCAATATTTGGACTCAGTTCCCCTTTGTCCATTGACTATAGCAGAGTGGTGCTGTTGTCAACGTGCCATTGGGCTCCTGATCGTCACTCTGCTCTGGTTGCACGACCACTTAATGTTAGATCTGCGATGTATGTATTAGTTGCTTTTCCTGGTCAGTGATCCTCAGCAGCCTCCTGCTTAATATTTAACTTTAACTTTCTTCCCTCACCTACTCAACCTTGTTTTCTATTTCCATTATTATGCCATCCCATTTTGTGAAAGAGATATTTCAGGAACCGTAATAGCGCAGATTTTCAAATTTGGAAAAAAATGTCCACTACAATTCAGAAATGACCTGATAAGAATTTGTTGGTCAAAGGTAAAACAAATCAATGTCCCCTGTAACCTATTAAAGAATGTTCTGGGCCACAACCTAATGAAAGCATTTGCTGATAATGGCACAGTTTCCCATACATGACACTACTTTTAATTATAAGGGCAAAGTTGAACCTCACTTTTACATAATAATATCCTTGAAAAACATTCTCCTGTTCAATACTCCCAACCAGTTCTATTCTAATGGATAAGATATTTCAAAGAAACATGTGCAGGGAATATATTCAAATTTCCACTTCAAGGTCAACATGAACTCACACACTGTCACACTCTTCTGAACTTGATATCTCTGCAACACCTGTAGGGAATTTTATATCCGGATTGTTTTTGTTTCTCTTATCCTTTCAAGAGAACGCCATTCCCATTATATCTGTTGACTATCTCAGCACACTCTACACCTCGCTTTACTGCCATAAGGAGGACCTGCTGACACTCACAAGCTCTGCAGATAAACAGAAAAGGAGAAGGAGTGATGCTATATGTTATTATGTCTCCCCTGTAAATAATATCAGGGCCATCCTCTTGTTTTAGACCTATGAAGCCATTTTCAAATTGTTTTAGAGTAATGTATTCTTCCAAACATTTTCTATACAAAATGTATCACCAAGCCACAACACTCTCATCCTGGAAAGAACACTAATGGAAACTGCAACTTGAATATTTGTCCAAGACATACAAAAGCTAAAACGATAATTTAGATTTGCATCCTATCTCTAAAGACAGTGGAAGACCCTGAGCCCAAACAGGAATGTAACAATCTGTTCCTTCTATCCCTCCTCTGTCTTATCTGTAGTGGGAGGAGATCAGCGTAATGGATGAGAGGAACACCCCGATGAGGACCTACCAGGTGTGTAACGTCATGGAGGCCAACCAGAACAACTGGCTGAGGACGCGCCACATCAGCCGAGAAGGAGCCCAGAGAGTCTACATCGAGATCAAGTTCACCCTTAGGGACTGCAACAGCCTGCCAGGGGTCCCAGGAACCTGCAAAGAGGTATGCACCACATCACATACACACAAAGAGGACTATACACAACATGAAAGCTTTAGAACACAAAGTCCTTGCAACCTACCCCCCTTCTGTTGCATCTCCGGCTTGTTATGTTCTCTCTTGGTGAGCATGACATTGACTTTTGACCAGCTCCATGGGTGCTCTTTTGTAGTCGTCTGCTTTGTGGGAATTTCTTCAGGAGAAAAGTGAGAAAAAAAAAGACACAATTCCTTTTTGAAGATCAATAGCACAGGAGTCAGTTTTACTTGTATGTGGTGGATGCAGACATTGTCTGAAGACTTGGATTTGTCTGGGTAAAAATCACTCTGCAATGCTACAAAGTGTTCTCGGACAATGCAGCACTCTCAGCCATTCGGATCAAACTGAAGTAACTTAATGTAGTCAGTGTACATTGCATCCACTTCTTGTCATACATTGATAGATTGATTAGAAAACACATAAGGAATTTACAAATTGGATCAAATTCCCTCTAGAGGAAACATAAATGCCCCTTTGTTTCTTGTTCCTAGCTCCACTAGCTCCACTAAATCAACAAATTAACGTTTAACAACCCGGCTCTGCATTTTCAATTGAACCTGCCTGATCCCTGATTTGATGTGATGCAAATACGCCTTGTATTTGTTTTTGCTCTGACTGCCTGAGAAAACTTGCAGCAAGAAAATAAAGAAAGAAAAGAAGCGGGAGTAGCAGTGCAGCAGAACACTTCAAATGAAATGTTTGTTTCACAGACGAGGTCGTGAAATAGAAGAAGCCAGATCACACGCGTGCTAATGAAATGAACAACAAATCATGAAAGGGAAGGTTTTACATCTTCATGTTTCACAGATTATTAAACAATTCAGCAGCATGCTGCCTCATGTCATGTATGTTAACAAATACATCAATGTCATGCATGATGTAAAAAAAGGGTTTGTTCCTCCTGTTATACTTGCTTCAATCAATCCTCAGTGTGGTCTTTGTTCTGTATTAGAATGCAGAGTGGCAAAGGGACATTTTACATCTTTTTTTTAATTTTCATAATTCCGTCTTTTCCATTCAACACAAACACACAGATGGAAGTTCCCTTTGATGGCCCATGAATAGATAAATAGACACGAGGCGGGAAGAGAAAGGCATAAGAGAATAGCTGCACAATGAAACAGATGACGCTCTGGAGGCTTCTTTTGTGGCTCCTCGTATATTTTAACTTCTAATATAATTTTTTTTCCTACTGTCCCCCATTCTCTCTTATCACCCGATACCACTGCTCCTCTGTATTCAATCCTCTCCACTGTGTCTGGCCTCTGCTCTCTTTTCATTCTCATTACATCTCCAGGACAGAGCAGTGGAGATTATAGTGTATGAGACAGTATAGAGCTGCAGACAGTTTTTCTGACTGGCTGTCCAGACAGATGGACTGTGATTGGAGGGGGGGGGGCAGCAGAATAATCGGAGAGCTGTGGATGGACTTTGTATTTATCTGCCTGCTTTACTCTGTATGATTCTTATGTATCTGATCAGTTACGTTTGTAGAGTTGGAACGTGATGGTCATTGTATGTTTTGCAGACATTCAACATGTACTACTATGAGTCCAACAATGCAAACCTGTGGTTCATCAAGGAGAGCCAGTACGTCAAGATTGATACTATCGCTGCAGATGAGAGTTTTACACAGGTATGTAAACACACTATAGCATAATCACACAGTGTCACTTACATGTACTGTAAATATAAAGTTTAAACATAAAATAAAAACATATGTCTGCATAATAAAGGATTTTTTGGGGGTGATACCAATGCCATTAGAAAAAATCACTGAAACCTGATATGGTGGCTGATAAAGAAAATTTATGATGAAAGATGTAGACCTCTAACACAGATATTGTGCACCAATTTTATCACTGTTAGGACCCTTCAAAAGGTACTCAGAAATATGTTTCTTTTTTAAACAAATGAGTAATCAAAGACTAACTTACTTGGACAGACAATGTGATCAAACCAATTCTAAATCCCTCCCGAGCATGAATTATTTCAATATTTGTACTGCAAGAAAATTGTTCATATTGGCTGATTTAGGGAAACACATACTGTAAAATCAACAAAACAAATCGGCCAAACAAAATCTGGTGAGGTATACGACTCAGGTTATCATGGGCAACTAAAAATTGTAAATCACAAATATAGGATTTCAACAAATGAGTACCAGTAATTATCATTACGGTGAATGTCAATATTTTTTGATAGGTTTAGTGAAACGTTTTCTATTGAGGATTGCGCACACTGAGCCCATTCTTTGGAAGGACATAAAGAGGCAGTTTCTTATACTGTTAAACTTTTTAACTGAATTGAAGTCCATGTAAGCATTAAGCCCCCTTTGAACATATTAGGTAACCATCTGACTCTCTCAAGAGAAGATTCTAAAATTAACTTATCGTCCTCTGCCACCTACTCCCGGAAAAGAAAATCTAAATAAGAATTGTTTGAACGTAGATGACCTATTCTTTTGCTTGCAAAAAAATACAAATTTAGTTCTCCCTTAGAAATGCACTTTCAGGCAGCAACATTATCAAGAAGGGTTAGAGTTTGGACTGAAAAAAGATGCTTTGATTTGACCTGAAAGCTCCAAATGAAATGAACTGAACTGTGTACGTCGATGTCCTTTTCCCACAGGTGGATGTTGGCGACCGTGTGATGAAGCTGAACACAGAGGTGCGGGACATCAGCAACCTGAGTAAAAAAGGTTTCTACCTGGCCTTCCAGGACCTTGGTGCCTGTATCGCCCTGGTCTCTGTCAGGGTCTTCTACAAGAAGTGTCCCCTCACTGTGCTTAACTTGGCCCAGTTCCCTGATACGATCACAGGCGGAGACACGGCACTGGTGGAGGTCCACGGTGCGTGTGTTAACGCCTCGGAGGAGTTTGAGGCTCCAAAGATGTACTGCAGTGCAGACGGAGGCTGGCTGGTTCCCATCGGGAGGTGTGTGTGCAAACCTGGCTTTGAGGAGAACAAGGACGTCTGCCAACGTGAGTGGGCCGGGGGTCCGTGGGGGCATGTGTGAGATTTATTTTTAAGTGAGAGAAATAGAGTCAGACAAGGACAAAAGCAGAGAGCGAGAAAAAGAAACATGCATAGTGCTGTCATGTTTTTCTCTAAAGCTTGTGTGTGTATTTAAAAGTGACTTCATTGTTGCACATTATTACCTGATTGGATGTTTTGCAGTGTGTTTCACTGTATGCACGTGTCTCATTAAGATTGGCCTTGTGAAATAAAAGAAGCTCGAGTGCCACAGTGCGACATGTGACATTGCTCCAAAAGTGCTCTTATAAACAAAACACAGCAATAAGATCCATTCTGCTCTCTACGGCCTGAAAGTGTGATTTAGAGATATATGCGTGTTTATATGGACATGTAGGTGATGTGTCTGCTGAGTGCATCTGGAGACGTTTTTTTGTCACTGTGAATTCTGCCATGAAGCTGTGGATGTAATGACAATGATACTGCGCATTTACAATGTAGGTTACCGGTAATGTTGTGTGTATGAGTAGGTGTGACTTTTAAAAAGCTCTGCGAGGAGAATTCTTGCAAAAAAAAAAGGGAAGGAGTTGCTTTGAGGCGTCTTCTCTTTTTTTTTTGTGTTTGTCAGAGTTGAATATCTAATTTTTGCTGCTGAGGTGTGTGTGTGTCTGTGTGAGAAAATGCTGATTGATGTGTGTTTCTGTCGTACAGGGGAGAGGAAAAGGTATGCCTTAGGAAGCAGATTATTGAATTGTAAAAACTGCAGATGGTTTGTGCTGTGTGTGTGTGTGTGTGTGTGTGTGTGTGTGTAGAAATGAGTGCACAAGTTGTATTGGATTCACGCCGTCACTTGTCCCCACAGGCTTACTCCCCTCCGAAAAAAGAAAATGGATTCTTAGATATTCATCACTGCAAACTTGGAAATCGGTGCACATAATGCAATCTCAGTTGTTTTGGAGATGCAGCTGCCTAGACACACAGAAAAACATGGCTGTTGGTCCTTAGAGACGGGCGAACAGAAGCTGTACTCTGCAGCCTGCAGGATGGTAATGTGCACAGATTGTGGCAGAACTCAGAGTGCATCTCAATCAAGAAACGCCGGCTGCTGAGCTGCTCGTCTGTCATGTCAAAATGAAACTGCCGTTATTTTACAGACAAACTCAATGCCTTTTTCTGTAACAACTTATATTTCATTGTGCATTAAAATGTCACATCATCTGCATTCAAACTCTATCGAAAGTCAGTCTGACGCAGCAGAACAGCTTGACCTCAGTGATCTCCATGACCTCATCACTCTGCTCGATGAGTCTCATCACTCCACAGAGAATAAATAAAGAGATGTAAGCACCTTTAACAAGCTCGCTTTAGTGTGCGCGTTTGTGTGTGTGTGTGTGTGTGTGTGTGTGTGTGTGTGTGTGTGTGTGTGTGTGTGTGTGTGTGTGTGTGTGTGTGTGTGTGTGTGTGTGTGTGTGTGTGTGTGTGTGTGTGTGTGTGTGTGTGTGTGTGTGTGTTGCAGTCGTATCTCAAGGTAATTATTGTAGGTCAGAGGCCAGGAAATATATGCGTCTCCTGGTTTAGAATCTATTGTCACTCCAGATGTGCTTGTATATGATTGTGTGTGTGTGTGTGTGTGTGTGTGTGTGTGTGTGTGTGTGTGTGTGTGTGTGTGTGTGTGTGTGTGTGTGTGTGTGTGTGTGTGTGTGTGTAGGCTAAACGTGTGTCAAGTGTGTGTAGAGAAAAAAAGGACCTCAAAAGTCTTTGGTTATATTTTATTTGAAGGCTTATTTTCTGTCAGGGCAATTTTTCTGGAAACAATCAACGAACATTTTCCAACAACCTTTAATTCCTTCGTGCTAAATTGAAGCTTCTCCGCCTGCAGGGTTGTCTGCACCCACCTACTCGTTATTAGAAAAACATTCTTCTTAGGGATCTTAGGAAGGATTTGCATTGCAATGACATACAACGGAGAAAATCGCTGTCCCCCGCGTGTGTCAGCCTAACATATTTGTGAAACACTGTCAAATTCTCACAGTGGAAACCAGCTTCCTATTGTCGCAAATGAACGTGACGCCTGCACTTCTCCAGCCTGCACGTGCCCCCTCGTATTGTTCCCTTTTCTGCATCTCTAATCAGCCTGCTTTTACAGAGGCATGAGAGGACACGGAGAAGTACAACAACCCTTGGCGTCACACAATTACGTGTCCCTGAGAGAACAAGGGCCAGGCTTTTAAAGAGTCCTCTCAGCGCTCGGCGTCAGCACCAAACAAAAGGTTCCTGCCCTGACACATTCTGAAGGTTCTCCATAGGGAAAACACACGCGGCTAATGCATTTGAATCACCCTCTCTCTCTCTCTCTCTCTCTCTCTCTCTCTCTCTCATTTGCTGTTGCACAAAGAGATGAAGAGGTGAGGTAGGAGAGAGAGCTAGTGGGGGGGGGGGGGGGTGTAATCATCATCATGCAGGTGAACGAGCCTTTTAATGGACATTGTGCGTTGTTCTTTTTGTGTGCGGGTGTTTTCGTCTTTCTTTTCCATTTAGCTGCTCTGAAGCTCATTGTGTTCTTGTTGTGTGTGAATCTTCTCGTAGTGTTTCGGCCTCTTTAGCATCCTCTATTTGCCCCCCCCCCCCATCTCTCTCCCCCTCTCTGTGTCCATGACTCTCTCTCTCTCTCTTTCTCACACGGTGTGAAGCGCTAATGGAATCATTACTAGCACCCGTGTGTTAGACAAACACCAGACACCTCCAATTACAGCCCTTTTTCCCACAATCTCTGCCTCTTTCTCCCGTCCTCTCTGTTATTTTCTAACCTTGCTCTGGTTTCTGCTTCTATAATGGAACTGTCCCCCCCCCACTACAAGCCCCCCATTTTCGCTCATCACCCACCCTTTCTAATGCTGTCTTCCTTTTTCACCTCACCATTTTTCCTTCTGTCCTCTTCCCTCTCTCCTCCTCGTCTTCCTTTCAGCCCTCATCTCCTCTGTCTGCACTCGTTAAACATTTATAGATCACGGGTTCATCTTTCCCTTTTCTATTTTCCCACCCTGTGCTTAGCTCCTATTCCCACTTAGTGTGTTAAACGTGTATATGTTTTAATGTTGTAAACGTTAGACAATTGATTAGAATTAATCAGGGGAATTGTTTTACGACACAAAGGGTTGTTGCACACATAGAAAGTGGGATGTTCAGTGGTAAGTTACTAACTATTAAAGAGGGAATTATGTCATTCATGGGAAATGTAGTCTTTGTTTTGAGACACTGAAAAGACAGTTTTTGAGTATAGTACCTTTCATCCTGACAGTGATGGTGTGACAGAGATACAATACCAAGACATCATAAACCAGTTATCAATAAGACATATTCATATTGTGAAAAAGATAACACAGCTATCACTCTCAGATAATTCCTCAAAAATGTCTAAATTCCCTAAGTCGCATCTGGCTCCAAAACCCATTACTAGAAGAACAGGTCACATACAAATAGTTTTTTTTGTTGATTTTAAAGTTATGTATCTTAAATATGTGATATTCCTTGAAATAAACTGTGCAGTCAGGGGTCATGGAGGAGCTAGCTTTCATTGGACGGGTGATGGGGTACACCCTGGGCAGGTCACCATGATTTGTAGCTGCAGGCTTCATTCAGACAGGGAGTGTGTTGTTGGGACTATTTTTAGCGGCAGATTAATACAATATTGGTGCTCTATTTAGTATCTACACAGCAGGAGAGCAAATGTGGGGTTAACTTTAAACTGTGCCCATATTCCATGTCATTGAGGAGACATGGCAACCAGAGCAGCAGTGTGGTGTTGTCTTTTCATTGTTGACAAAAAACAAATAGCGATAACTTATGAAAGTCCTTCAATTTCCAAATATCCAGCATACATATACATATTTATTCAATGTCTTTTTTTAATATACCTACTGTTTTCAATTTCTGTGAAATCTAGTGTGTCTACTGCAGCTCTGATCGCTCTGCATCCTCATCTGCTCCGTCACTAGTAGAGTTACATAATCTCTCTCTCTCCTATTCAAACTCAAACTCTCTCTCTCTGTCACTTACATTTGCACAGCCTCGTCTCTCTCCACCCCATGCAGAGGCCTCTGTCTGTAAAGCCAACACCCCCCTCCCCCTCCCAAACTCGCCCTGTCCACTCCCTACTTGCTCTCTCTCTTTCTCTCTATACTTCTGTTCAATCTAACCCGTCCATTTCCACCTCACACACCCTCGCCCGCCCCTGCTGTCTGTCTGTCTCACAGCTGGTAGGGGATGTAGTGAATTCTCCTCTCAAAACCTTTCCTGCTTTAAGCCCAAGGGGTACATGCTGAAGGGCAGGAGTGTGTGTGTCCTGTCCTTCTATGTGTGTGTCTGACAGCACCAATTACTGCCTCAGATGCCGGGGAGATGGAGGAGAAAGAGTGGAGCAGGACAGACACCTGTCACCTCAACACAACTTCTCTCGCCCTTGTCTCATCTCTCTCTCTTTCACAGCAGGCTGAAGGAATATAGGTCAGCATCGCATGTCCGTCTATACCTGTCTAACAGTCGGCCGTTTCTTCGCATTCATTTGTCTGTTTGATACAGACAATAAAAAGATCTTAGCTTACAAGAGGGACTTTTCAGTCACACCCGGCTCCTCATACTGACTCCACTTAGCTCTCCTGCTGTTCTTTTCACTTCTCAAATTGGACAGAAACCAGAGTGTGAATCACTGAGGAATGAGTCCACCCTGCATCCCATCCACTATGAATTGTCTCGTCAACTATGTGTTTTGTTTGGAACGTGTAAAGACAGAGACAATAGAATTTTGGACAGCTACAAATTGGGACTAGTACATCATGTTAATTCAGATTATGTTCTTACTTGCTTGGTATGACAGTGAGATGACTGCATTACAGGAATAGTTCCACAATTACATAGACACTGTTATAGTAAAGCCCATTTTTACAGTTTTGTGCATAATTGAATGAATAACAGTTTCCTTTAAGCTCATAAAAAAAAATCTGTTTTATTA